CTTCAGGACAGATCTTGAAACATCCTTTGTGATGATGAATGCCACGCCATTCCTTTTCAAACTGTCATTCCCGGCATAGTAGATATCTCAATAAAGCTGTTAAAAAATGTATTGAATCAAGCTTAAAATGATGGTCTCAGGTTTTTACTTTTTGTTTGTTCAAATATTAGTAATGTAAGGCAAATGCTACAGTTATACCTTACATCATTCACTCTAAGAGAGAAAAATGTATTTTATTAGAAAAATTTAAAGTTAAGGAAACAAAGAGTAACCATTAATTTTTTTCTTTAGACATTTAACAAATTTCATTTACCTGTAACCAGAACAAACTGATTCAGCACGAAAAAAACTAAGAAACAGCATGTCGCTTGGGAATTTATTTTCTTTAAACAGCTCCTTTTGATTTATTTGATCAAAATATGCCAAGGCCCAACAACTAAGATCACAGCAGTGGAAACTGCTTAAGTTAGGACTAATGAATTAATAGCCTACTGCTTAATCTGAATGCTGAAATTGGCTGCCAGTATTTCACTGTTAATGGGAGTCTAGATCTTCTACTCATTTTTTTTTTTTTGCCAACTGTGAAAAATCATTTTGTGGTAACTGATTTTTCTTTCATATTAAGAGGGACATTTGCCAGTCCACAATGCATAAGATCTGGTAAAAACAATAAATGACGAAAAATAGTCATTAAGATTTCTTGGAAGGGCAGAGCAATATGCCTAATGTAAATAATATAACCATACAATAAAATAATAAATATTTCCTATTACCCTTTCAATAAACAGAAACATTAAAAATAATCTATAATTATGCTACCTTTCTACTACTAAAATCCCTTCCTCCTCTTGAAGAAACTAACAAAACCTGTCTCCTTCTCTGTCCCACGACGTTACAGAAAAAGAGGCTCTGAGTCAGACTTCCACGCCTGGAAACAAAAGGCTCATTTAACTACTCTGATGAACTTTAAGTCTACCAGTGGCACACTAAAGATAAGCCTGCTATGGGCATGCTGTCTGTTGGAAGTTCATTTTAAAATTTGCTAGCAGACCAACTGCCTTCACAGTGAATAAAAATGTTTCACATTGGACCAGGCAGTGTTTTGTTCTGTGGTATACAGGGTCACTAGGAGCTCTGGTGGCGTAGTGCCTAAGGCATCTGTCTGCTAACCAGAAGGCTGGCGGTTCAAACCCACTAGCCACTCCTTGGAAGGAAGATTAGGCAATCTACTTCCATAGTGATACCACCTTGGAAACCCAAGGAGGGGTCACTATGAGTCAGATCCGACTCCAACAGTGAGTTTGGTTTTTTTTGATGAGTCACAGCAACAACTTTAAAAGCTGGTAAATTTTCTGATTAAATGTTGATTCTTAAAACGACTGTTCTGAAAGATAAAGGGGATTTTTAGAAACCAAATTCAGATGTAAAATGAGACTGCATTTGTAAGTAATCATAAATCTGATTTAAAACATCAAAGCAATCAGAGATGGTTATGTATGTCTGCTTAAGATAATGAAACAATGTCTATTATTGGTTATATTGACCCAGATAAGGAAAATACTGATTTGAAGTTAGAAGTCTGGGTTTTCCTTCTAAAAAAAATGCTGATGGCAAGGAGGAAGACACACAGAGGTGACCAGAAGAGGGATCTACATATTGAAGAAGACAGTGACGAAAGATTCATGCTGTTGCTACACCTAAAAGCTCTGTTATTTCTTTCTTTTGCTCTAGGCACCTTTGAGAAAAGAGGAGAGGAAAAGAAGATGCAACTTAATTATGACAGTAACTTTGTGGACGGAGAACACACCACATACTGGTTTTCTGAAACTATGCAACCCCCTTGACTGTTTCCTGTGTGATATGCATGTTACATGCATGTGTGTGTTATTTACACAGGTGCATTATATGTGAAAAATATAGTAAGGCAAGTTAAGCCTGTCTCTTAAGTGTAGGCAATTACAACTAGGTCCCTAGAAGCATGAAAGTCACAGGATGCAGCTGGGCTCGGACATCTGGAAAACTCAGCCAAGCACCAAAAGCATGAACGTGCCCTGGGAAAGTTCTGACCCAGTTAAGAGTCAGGGTGAGTGTAAGCAGTGTTCTGCTCAAGCTGAGGGATAAGGTCAAGGTCATAACACAGAGCAATTAGTGATTACAGAAGCTAAAGAATCTAGGTGCTTATTGCTTTAAAAACTAATACTCTCGCTACAATGTTTTAATCAAGAGATTCATTTTTTGTGGATAAATTAGTTGGGAAATATGCTAATACTTTACTCAATAAACCACATCTCTCAGACTAACTGAAGAGATGGCTGTGCCCTGAAACCAAGGGGCTCTCCTGGCTGCTAATCTTCCTAAGTAGCCTCCTAGTGCTAACTGAAATCTATATGACAACACATCACAGACACTGAAGAAACACTTGAATTTCTGTCCATATCCTAAACCCTTCTGATTTACTTTACAGGATACAATGCTTGCCAACAAAGGAATAGGAATTATAAAAGGCTGACATACATAAATCGACAGATCTCTGTACAGCAGAAATGAAATGTATTAATGAAACTCTTTATGCAAATATATTGTGGCCATGAAGTCTTAGCAGAATAAACACTTCAAACCAAAAACAACCAAAAAAACTCTTTTACTTAAAAAGAGAGAGAGAGAGAGCGAGCATGTAGGCTTACAAAGGGTCAATTAAAAATATCTGAGCAACAGAAATTTTGGCCCATTAACAAACTTAGCTATGAGAAAAGCACCAACTATTACCATGGTATACCCACCACAGAGTGCAACGCTCAACTCCTTTTATACTTGGCAATGCTGATAATGCAGCTACCTACAGGAATTCAGGCCTATTCGAGGGACAGAGATGCACATACTTTCCTCTGGATCCTCACTCGGCTGCATGCTGCTGGGAAGGTCCTGTACAGCAGCTCGTGATTCCGGTGTAGACCGATGAGGCCCCAGGTGACTGTCCCTCTGAGCTTCCCACTCTTCACTGAAGCCTCCATTATCATTCTCTGCAACAGAGTTCTGTGACTCGTTCTCTGTGCCTCCGAGAGAGAACAGAAATTACACCCCTCAAACTTAGAACAGTTTCTTAATACCTTTATTAAGAAAATTACATGGAAGTATAACTATCCTACTATTTCAAGTTAGCTAGCTCTTCAAACCACAATCATGGGCTTTAGCTGTACCTGGAACTCCGGTGGCAAAGTGGTTTTTTAAAAAAACATCTGGCTGCTAACCAAAGGTTGGCAGTTTGAACCCACCAGCCACTCTGTGGGAGAAAGATGAGGCAGTCTGCTTCCGTAAATATTTACAGCCTCACTTAGGACCACGGTTGCAAGGAGACATTAAGCTCAACTGGTATAACATATGACACAAAAACATTGTTCTACATCCTACTTTGGTGAGAAGCAACCAAAAAGCTTACAAGCGGCCATGTAGATGCTACAATTGGTCTCTCCTCATCTGGCACAAAGAATGAAGAAAACCAAAGACACATGGAAATAATTAGTCTGAGACTAGTAGACCATATGAACCTCAGCCTGCATGACCCTGAGATGAGAACTACATGGTGCCCCAGCTACCACTGTCAGCCACTCACAAAGGGATCAAACTAGGAGATCCTGGATAGAGTGGAAGAAAAATGTGGAATAAATCTCAAAATCAAGGACAAGACCAGACTTACTGGTCTGATAGAGATAAGTGAAACCCCCAAGACTATGGCCACTAGTCACCCTTCAGGTCTGGAACTGAACTCACTCCCATGGCTTCAAGCCAAACAACAGGCAGGCATATGAGATGCAACATTTACACCAGGTAGGTACAATCCTTACAACAATCAACCACGGGAAATCACAAGGGCAGTATCTGTACAGGGAGCTGCTCAGGGTCAGGAATGCACATGAAAGGACACAGGGAAAAGGGAAGAAACTGGAAGAGAACTGTTATATTATGGGGACTGCAGTCAGTATCATGAAACAAAATGTGTATGAACTGTTGTATGAAAAATGAATTTGCCCTACAAACTTTCACTCAAATCAAAATAATAATAAAAAAATTTAGAGTCTCAGAAACCCTACGGGGCAAATCCAGTCTGTCTAATGAGTTGCAATCAACCTGATAGCAGTGGATTTGGTTTGGGTTAGCAGTACCTGCTGGTTGCTTACCCGATACCATGCTCTCCTTCCTCCTCAAGGGTAGTACCCTGATTTTGCTAGGTTTCTATTTCTAGCAGTAAATCCTGACACAGCCAAGCTGGGTATGTCTTAGATCTAGAGCTGTAGGGTTGTACCAGCCAATGAATGATGAGGGAAATTTTTTCACTCTTTAAGAGAGAGTGAAGAAAGAAAGAAATGGCACTCCTCCTTCCTCTGGATGTTGTCTTATCTGGATATGATGCCTGGAACTGCAGCTGTCATCTTGTGATCATGAGGAGTGCTGGGCTGAGGACCAAGCCTACATGCTAAGGATGGCAAGGTAGGAAGATGCAAAGAACCTGGGTACTTGATATCATTAAGCCACAAAATGAACCAATCCCAGAAGGGCCTACACCTCAGGAGTCCTTGTCATGTAAGAGAATATATTTCCTCTGTTGAAGGCAACTGAATTGGGTTTTTCTGTTCTTTGCAGCTGTAGGTTTCCTAATTGATGGCACTCACTACTGGCTTTGTTGACTAAGTTATAAACATGGATTCATCATGGAAGGGATAGGTAAGGGGGGAGTGAATTTTTTTTATGGGCCAGTCTTTCCTTCTTAATGACGGTCATTTGGTTACACATGTAGAGCCGTCGTGGTGCAGTGGTCAAGGGCTCAGCTGCCAACTGAAAGGCCAGTGGTTTGAGCCCACCAGCTGCTCTGCGGGAGAAAAATGTGCATTCTGTAAAGAACTGCAGTCTTGGAGACACTGTGGAGGCAGTTCCACTCTGTTCTATAGGGTTGTTGTATCAGTCAGAACTGACTCGATGGCAACAGGTTTGGTTGGGTTGATCTGTTTGTATATCCTTGAAAACTGAACATATTATGATAGTTTACCACAGACATCCATTAATCATCGGAACATGGAATGTGCGAAGTATGAATCTAGGAAAACTGGAAGTTGTCAAAAAGGAAATGGAACGCATAAAGATTGATATCCTCAGCATTAGTGAGCTGAAATGGACTGGTTT